TATGTTGGTTAGTTAGTAACTTAGATCCTCTAAACAATGTAGTTTCTCATATCAGTTCCAGATTAGTATATATTTGTTCATGAATACACTACTAATCGAGATAGTAAACTTTATAAGTGAACAAATATTAAAGAAGTTATTCAGATTTGAAAGTCCTGCAATGATACATTCATCATAACCGTTTAAAATGTAACTAATGCCCCCCATTCTAGCCAAAGATGTTGGTGAAGCCTAGTAGGCCCTTCTGAAGAGAAACAGGCAAAATCAAAGCATGGCACAACTACCGGGGATAGAATAGCTGTTTTTGTGATTGGTTGAAATCTACTCTGTAGAGAGCAACCCCGTACATTCCATATACCACTTTTGTGAATTTGTGAGAACAATTGTAACAACTCAATACTGTTTCGCAATATCTTATTAAGTCGAAGAAAATGATGGGTTGATAAAAATATCGAGAGAACCTGGTCATCTCCTTCTCATCACATATATCTCCTTAATTTTATGACCATTCACTATAAAAGTACTTTGCTTACATGTCTTATGATCTTTATGGCTTTACGTTTCACTAACTAGGTTTGATCTCGTTTATTATCCATAGAAAAAACTATGAGAATTTGACCCAATAACTGTAGTGTGTGTGTTTGTGATAAAAAGATATTGATAATCCCTATATCGTTTTGTTAACCGAACAAACGCAATAGACAGCTTTATTCAACTATTCTATATTTCATCTTTATCTCTTCTTTACTAGTTCGGTATTTAAAGTCAACAATGACAATTACTCATTAAAGCTGTTATTATATTTATCATTAGTAGTAAACTAGTCAACTTACTATTAGTTTTTACCTTTACTTATTATGACTAATGATGTAAACTATTTCTTTGCTATTCGTGACTTATAAACTGTATTGGTAGGTTTAATCATCATCAGTGAAATCCTATTGAAATCCATATAGAGATGATATAATTTTTCTGGTTAGCGTTTTTATGACGAGTTAGTTTTCTACAGGATGGGATCGCTAACCCCATGACCAACCCTCCTCCTTTATCCGGGCTTGGGACCGGCAGCAGCCCCCGGAGGGACTCCAGGCGGCCTATACTCCGTTAGGAGTAACAGGTGGTAGGTAGATTAGTAGAGATGATATTGTTTATTCATACATCTTATGCAGTTGTCAGTGAACACCAGACTGAATGATATGAATTTATTGCGCTATTTGGAAATATTTTAACTGTGAAAACCTATGTTCAGATTTCTGAAAGTAGTTATATAATATGGCATAATTGCAATTGGTTGACAGTTGTATGGAACTCAACACAAAAGTCAGAATCTTCAATACGAATGTCAAAACAATTCTACTGTACGGAGATGAAACTTTCGAAACTACTACAAAACAATTGTCTACACAAGACCAGTATCAGCAACATCCTACTATAGGAAAGAGCAAAGCAGATTCGTTGTGAAGAGTAAATTAGGATAGATGATGGAACATTTATTGAAAAAATCATCAAACTGCGTCACGAGGCAAGCTGTAACTTAGAATAATGAGGGAAAAAAAATAAAGGAAGGTCAAGCAACATACTGTGTCGGGAATCGGGAGCAGACATGAAAAGGATGAACAACAACTGAAAAGAACTGAAAACTATTGACCAGGACAGCGATGAATGGCGAGTGCTGCTGATCGGCCTATACTTCTCGACGAGGTGTAATGGGTGTAAGTAAGTAATAATTGCAATAACATACCTATACAATAATAATTGCCTGTTTCTCATTTAACATTCTATCGTGAATTTAGAAAGAAAAACCGTCTTAAAAACAGCTTAATTTAATTTTTTTCTCCCCAACTAAAAACATCATGAAAGTATAAGTAGTTCGAGATAGAAACAATGAAATTAGACAGTTTTTATATATTTATATCAGAATGGATTTTTGTAGGTATTATAGTAATTTCAATATTTGAAATCATGAGTCCATTGAAGCTAGACCATCATAGAAAACCTGGAAACACTCGACGATCGTTTCGTTCTATTATGGGACTCCTCATCAGTGTGCATCCACGGTCCAGCAACCTATTGGTCTCGCGCGTGAACGGTTAATCTCTAGACCACTCAACTGGCATCTAACAGTGTTAATGTCCGCAAAATTGAGCGACATATCTACCATTATCTTCAGTGAGTTGCTATCTCACCACAGACTCGGTTGAAGTTTACTAGTCACTAATTCTCACTAGAACTCAAATAATATATTTTGAAGTCATTCACTAGTGAGCATATATATATATATATATATATATATATATATATATATATATTATCAGAAGGGATTGTGTGGAGATTTTTAGAAATTTCACTGGTTGAAATCATGAATCCATTGAAGCTAGACCACCATGGAAAACCTGGAAGCACTGGACGGCCGTTTCGTCCTAGTATGGGACTCCTCAGCAGTGCGCATCCACGATCCTGCTCCTCGCGACATTCGAACTGAGGGATTATCAGTCTCGCTCCAGGTGCTTAACCAACAAGACCACTGCGCCGGCATCTAATGGTGTTAATGTCTAACTTCAACCAATCCACGAAGTTGCTCCACGGTACACCATTTTTTTCAGTGAGCTGATATCTCACAACAGCTTCAATGGATTCATGATTTCAACCAGTGAAATTTCTAAAAATCTCCACACAATCTTTTTTGATAATAATAATCATCTGCTCACTAGTGACTGACTTCAAGAGATACTCCTGAAGTTCTAGTGAGAAGCCGTTACCAGTGGAGTTCAACCAGGTCTGTTGTGAGATATCACCTAACTGAAGACAATGATGATGGTAACGTAACTTTGTGGATTGGTTGAAGTTAGACATTAACACCGTTGGATGCCAGCTGGCTTAGTGGTCTAATGGTTAAGCGCTCACACGCGAGACTGATAGTTCCTGAGTTCTAATCTCGCGAGGAGCGGGATCGCGCACTGCTGAGGAGTCCCAAACTAGGACGAAACGGCCGTCCAGTGCTTACAGGTTTTCCATGGTGATCTAGCTTCAATGGATTCATGATTTCAACCAGTGAAATATATATATATATATATATATATATATATATATACCTAGATGCTTATATACTTAATTTAGTAGTCAGTGCAATAGTACATTGTCTTATCAAATATTGTCGTTGAATTGTTCGTTAATTACTTTATCTCTTTATCTTCTTGTATTCAACCTAACTAGTTTGTTATTGTTAACATAAGATTTTGAATTTAATACTAAACTTAACTATACGTTTCAAAGTCACAGGTTACTGATACATTTGAATAAACATGAATTTGATTATTGACATTATTTGCTTTAAAATGTGCACTGGTATCCCTCGAAAAAAAAAACAAAAAAAAAAGAAAAAAGAAAAATCAGCCTACAATGAACGTCATTAATTTGTAAGAATTAAACTATTTTTTTAAAAAAAAATTTTTGTCACGTAGTTGTCATGGCAACAATTGAATGTTATTATTTATTTCATAAATTAAATGAATGACATTAAGTTTAATTCATATTTAATTTTATGATGAAGATGAATTTATTCCTTTGATTGATTTACGTCGGTATATAATCGATACAGCTATGAATATAGCATAGATAAATGATGTACTAAAACAAATGGATGATAATAATGTTATGTAATATTGTACGAATTCACTTAATTCATCATAACAACCCTGTTAGAGAAAAAAGAAAAGAAAAATAAACAAAAACAACAACAAGAAAATATAATCAATCAAATAGAATTGATCAACATGTAAATGATTATTGTGAATCTATAATCAAAATTATTATTGATTTTAAAGAAATGTCTGAAAGAAATCAATAAGTTTCATAATAATATAATTAATAAAAACAACTTTCAATCAATATTAAAGTCAGAATCTTCAATATGAATGTTAAGACAGTTCTACAGAACGGAGTTGAAATGTGGTGAACTACAATAACCACCATCAAGAAGGTACAAGTATTTATCAATAGCTGCCTAGGCAAGATACTCAACATCCATTGGCCGGATACCATCAGTAATAGCCTACTGTGGGAGAGAACGAATCAGCTTCCAGATGAAGAGGAAATAATGAAAAGACGATAGAAATGGATAAGACATACATTGTGAAATCATCAAACTGCATCACGAGGAAAGCGCTAACTTGGAATTCTGAATGGAAGTGGAAAAGAGGAAGGCCGAAAAACATATTACGTCGGGAAATCGAAGAAGATATGAAAAGAATGAATAACAACTGGAAAGAGCTAGAAAGGATTCTCCAGGACAGGTTTGTATGGAGAGTGCTGATTGGTGGTCTATACTCCTCCACGAAGAGCAACAGACGTACGTACGTACGTAAGTAAGTAAGTAAGTAAATAACACTCGATGAAAATGGATTATTTAAGTTTAATACGATGCTTGATTTATTTTAATCGATTTTAGTAAAATGAAGGTTATAGAAGTTGAGTACCGGCGAGCAAAAAGCAGATTCCTATGTTTAATACATTATGGTTGATTTGTGACTGCTCACTATCATAGCGTTCCGTACTAGGACAAAATGGCTGTATAGTTCTAACAGGATTTAAGTGATGGTCTGGTTAAGATCATTCAATGATTTAAATTATGAAATTATTAAATAATTAATGAATCACATCAAAGATAGATGTGAAATTTACATAAAGAGAGAATAACATGAAATCAAGTTTATTCAAGCAGATGCAGGGTATCAGGGAATGATAGTAAATCAGTTGATGAAGTTGTAAATCTTCATCAACTGAGATGGTTGTGTCACGTGTTGCGTATCCCTGAACACCGATTCCCACGACGCGCAATGCTAATGGGTGTTAGGGATAATTGGAAGAAAGTTAGGGGAGACCAAACGAAAACCTGGCATCAGTGCTTGAAGTCACTAACTTCTAGTTTGAGACATGTTAGTAGATGCACACTACTTGATTCGGTGTCCGCGTGACTATCGTAACCAAAGATTGGAGACATGGCTCAGAATCGATCACAATGGCGTAGGTGTATACAGTTTCTATCTTTCTTTAAACTATGAGACTAAAATTATTTCATATCTTTCTATGAAATAACTTTCTTCTTGTACTATATCCTTACATGCAATCTTTCTTTTATATATTACCACCATTGACTTAATCACTCCTATGAATCCGGTGGTCATCTTGCTGTACTAATGCTGTTTTGGCAACTTAAACTGATGCATATATGTGCCTGGTCCTACGTTGTAGCTGAGTGACTGACTATTTTTATAATATAAGTAATTATATACATATCACATGAGAATACATATTCTTGTCAAGTATCAGAATGAAAATATAATGAATATTTATCTATCTATCATTCTATCATTTTATCTTCATCCTGAATACCATTAATTGCATTAATAAAATACATCAGTGATATTCTTGTATCTGAGTTTAGTCAATTTGTCTTGTAGGAAGTTATTAGCTAACACTGGATAGAATAAAGGACTTGTGAATAATAATAATAGTGAAATGTTTATAAAATCCAATGGTCAAATAAGATCACAGGATAGACAGACATCATCCTCCATTGCGAAACATTTGATTGAGACGGGTCATAAGGTCGACATCAAATCAGCATTTGTAGTGTTATACAAAAGCCTTCAAGGACGTATACTAAGATTTATTGAAGCCTTGGTTATACGGAAACTAAAACCCCCTTTATGTGTTCAAAAACAATTTGTCCTTACACTAAACCTACCCTGGTAATACTGATTTATTATCCAGAGTGGTAATCACATTTGTTTTGTGTACTTTAATATTTTTTTCCTTTGTCATGACTTACCCTTAACCTGTCTAGTTGACCTTTTATTTTTATATATAAATGCTCTTAACAAGTATATGTGTGATCAGATTGTTCCAAATGTATTGCGCTAATATATCACATAATTCTGATAAACTTCGTCTTCTCATTGCATTATCAAAATTTATCAATGGGACTAACTGTTTTAAATATATATAACAATTTCGATGAACTTAGAGGATATCGCTATCGAAAGCGTTCTTATGAAGTATAAGTAAATAACTCGTACAATAAGAAAGGAATTATGTATAAGCATGATTGTAAATATGATCAGTTACAATCACTTCTAATGGTTATCAGTGTTTAACGATAACAAAAGTTCAAATACTGTATCTAAGTCTAGATGAATAATCAATGTCTGAATATCATATCTTCTGTTGAATTTTCGATTTATTCAGATGCTTTCTTCATTTGGTATTGTTTTACTTGTATCTTCTCATTGTTATTTACGACTGAAATTGATCAATCTCTTATTGGTATATATGCATCTTATGCGGATTGCCTCAATATTGCCTGAAGTCACGAGTTTTATAAGTAAAGATAGATAGAGACTGATCAATTGCAGTCCTAAATAACAATGGGAAGATACAAGTACAAAACACCAAGTGAATATAACTTCACGTCAATGCACAAGCAGGTGACTATTAAGACTCAGTAGCTAAGTGGATAACGCAATGGCGTCCAAAAGTGAACGATATTGAGTTCGAGACCCAGAGTGAACATCAACATCTGAGATGCAGGTACATCCTGCTGACGAGTCCTGAATAGGACGAAACGCGCGTCGTAGATTCCACAGCTAACCACTATCCATCTTTGCCTAGATGTTTCCGTTTGTTACACACAACTCAAGTTTTCTTTCATATGAAGTAGTGTGCTAATAGCTTATCGTTCACCGGAACTGTGAAACATATTGCATAATGATTTATTCAATTCACGATCCTTATGTTTTTTTTTCAGTTGAGTTCATGATGTGATTCAATTTACTTGTTACTTGATAAGCGGAGTAATCAAAGGTACTTTCCTTTAAGTACTACACTAAATGTTGGTGTTTATTAAACGGTTCGACTAGTGTATTTGCATAATAACAAAACATTATGGCTCCATTATCTCAGTAGTCACGAATGAAATATGGTAAGTAATCATCGGTATGAAAACTTCATATGATTTCCGGAATACAAATTAGATTCTCATGGAATAATGACTTCCAAACTATATCCACTAGAGCTCAATAAATGCCGAAACATGAGTTTAAAATTTCTAATATCATGATCTATTGAATGATGATTCACTGTTTATAATGATAAAAGTATTACATGTTTAATTATCAGAATCCGAATGTATAATGGGCTTCTACTGTTAAGTCAACTTTAGAAAAAGATTTTCAATAACTTCGATAACCAGTGTCTGACAGGTGAAACATCCTGTAAATTTCAATAGTTTAGATTATGATTCGAATAAATCTAGACCATCACTAAAAACCTGGAAGAATTGGACAGCCGTTTCGTCTTACTGTGAGACTTCTCATCAGTGCGCATCCATGACCCATGTAAATTCTTAAAGCATATAATCGCAATGTTAACACTTCTTAAGGTCGACGTGGAACTCAGAAGAAAAAAAAACACAATTCATCACAAAACCTTGTATCTATTCACAAGGACTACAGTGAGATTGCTATAGCTTTAACGATCGATTTAGTCAATAGGTTGAACATATTGTATGAAACGTCTATACCTATAACATTGGTCAGTTTAACATCTATTAACATAACTACCAATGATTTACAAAAATGCTAATGAGATAATAAATATTCCCTAGATTATTCTAAGTAATCTTCACATCATATCAGAGTTTATTTTATCACTTATACTCTCTCTCTCTAGTATTAAAGCCTGAATGTATCAGTATAATTATCCTTAGTTGTAGCACAGATTGATCATAAACATTATGAGATACTATTGCAAATTATTGATTAATCAATAAATCATGGTAGAACCTGTTAACAAACATGTTCGTTTGGTTTTAATAAATCCAGTGTTCAGTATATATACAGAGAGAGATTGTAATAATTTTAATAGTTGAATTCATGATTCAAATAAATCTAGATCACTATTGGAAACCTGGAAGCACTGGATGACTGTTTTGTTTTAATATGAGACTTTACAATAGTAAACATCCATAATCCCGTACATGGTATTTGAATCCAGGATCTTCAATCTTACGAGCGAAGTCTTAACCTGTAGACCACTGAACAAATGTCTAACAATGCTAATGTCTAATTTGAAATAAGCTTATTATACAATTATTGAAAATACTACAATCTCAACAAAACCCTTATCTGATTGTAATCAACATATGCTCACTAATGACTGACTTCAAGAGGTATATCCTGGAGTTCTAGTGAGAAGCAATGACCAGTGGAGTTCAACCAGGTCTGTTGTGGGATAGTAAATCACTGAAGACAATGGTGAATGTTTCGCCCAATTTCGTGGATTAGTTGAAGTTAAACATTAACACCATTAGATGCCGGCTCAGTGGTCTAGTTGGTTAAGTGCCTGGCACGAGACTGATAAGTCCTGGGTTTGAATCTCACGAGTCGGGATCGTGGATACGCATTGCTGAGGAGTCCCACAATAAGACGAAATGACCGTCCAAGACTTCCAGGTTTTCCATGGTTATCTAGCTTGAATGAACTCATGATCTCAATTATTGAAATAAATAAATAAATAAATAAATAAATAAATAAATAAATAAATAAATACTGACTTACTCTTGCATAAACATACTGACCAACTCTACATGAGAATGGTATTATTAATCTAGCTTTTTTAAAATCAGCATACGAATAAACTCCACAACAGAAAAACTATAAAAAAAAATAATAATAATAATATAAAGAAGAAAACACTTAACTTACCTTTCTATGTAATTTATCAAATTCATTTGCATATTCATCATTTTGATAATAATATTTAATAGTAGTATTTAATGCTTGTTTAGCATTGATAAAAAACTATAATAAATATTTAATTATAAATTAATAGTACAACTAACTGGTTGATCATTTGTCACGGATACAATAGCTATACATAAATTGATTATTGTTGCTATGGACAAACAAATGATATGCTAAAATATGAAGAGAAAAAAAGTTGATTGTATCCAAGTGAAAATTTAAAAAAAAAATAAAAAAATAAATAAACTTACTAAAAGATATAAAATATTCATTTGTTTCCATAATCCAATAAATCCTAAACATGCTGTTATTAAACCAAGACTTCCTGTAAATATTCCTGTTGGATAAATAGCTGGTATTGTATATTGTAATATTAATTTATATTTAAGTAAATTATCCTGGGCTTTAAGACTTAATACAAATAATATAAAACTGGATACCTAGAATAAAGTAGAATAGAATAGAAAAGAATAGAATAGAAATTAGTATAAAATTTTATAAAGAACATGGTAAACACCATAAATAATCTGGAAGTATTGGATGGCCGTTACATTGAGGATATGTACTATTAAAGAGTCCTATATTAGGATGTAATGGCTATTTAGTACTTCTAGGTTTTCAATGGTGGTCTAACATTAATTGACTTATGTAAATTAAACTATTAAGACTATTAAAATCTTCATAACTCCCCTCCTTTTTATTTTCTGATAATCAATGATTGAGATCATGAATCAATTGAAGCTGAACCACCATGGAAAGCATTGAATAGCTGTTTCGTCTTATTGTAGGACTCTTCAACAACACGCATCTACAATCCTACCTAACGAGATTCGAACTTAGGACTTATCATTTTGGTACGTGAACGTTTAACCATTAGATTACAATTGTCCAATGCATTCAGGTTTAACATGATGATCTAGTTTCAATTGATTCATGATCTCAATCATTGAAATGATTATAATATTTATAAAAATTACTCATTTGATAATAATGAATGTAATATTTACTTACTGCAAGAAAACTATTCAATATAATGAATAGAAAGAACCAAAATTTTTGGGTTAATTGCAATTTCATCATTGTTTTTTTGCTTTTTTTTTATTTTAAAGCTGCTATTCTTTCGTGTAATGGTATTATGAAATAATAAACATGTAACTATATAATGATGAAATCATTATTAGGAGAATATGATGATCATATAAATCTAATAAGGACTATTTACAAATTACATATGATTGATAATATTCAGACTACACATACAAAAATGTATGTTCTTGATTTTCTAATATGTGTATGTATGTGTTCGTATGTGTGTACGATTGCGAGTGCGTATGTGTGTGTGTGTGAGAGAGAGAGACAGAGACAGAGAGGGAGGGAGGGAAGGTATCGTAATATGTCAATTAATTATAAATTTAGTAGTAAATTAAGACAAAACTAAAGAAAAAGAAGAAACAAAAAAAAACGTTTACCTCTTCATTGTTCACATGGTACTTTCAGTAGGTATGTTACAATAAACCAAAAAAAACCTAAAAAAAAAATCAATCAAATTGCTTTGCGTAGTTTTGTGTGGATTTCTTTTTTTTTTTTTAAATAAGTATTCCGTTAAAGTGATTTTCATTATGAGTTAAAAATCAATAATATACAGCTTAGTAACAGAAGCATTTAAGAATTGTTTACTTAATGTATATTTTCACAATATTCTATAATGTCATATGTTTACTTTCATTGGAACAATTACGTAATTACTACTAAAGAACTATTGAATAAAAAGGGATCCGTAAACATTTTGTAGTGGTTTTACTTCGTTAATTGATCACTTTAATAACTGTTATAATATAAATTTTAAACGGTGACTTGGCAACTACAGTTTATTAAAGGATAGCGCAGATCATATAGCTATAAGCTCATCGGCAAATTGCATAAGGGTTCAGCAAAGTAAAGCAAGGACTAATAACAAGATTTGAGTACATACATACATACATGGGGAGGAGGATGAATCATTGAGCGATATTTAAGCGATCAACATTTTAGCTAGAGTCTGTTATATGATCTAGTGATCACCAATGTAGATGATCTATATCGAATGATTGAAGGCCTACTCAAGTTCGATGGGAATGATGTGACGAACCAGCTAACATCGAAGTCATACCTCGTGGTCAGCACCTTACGTAGACTACCTCATAGGCGTATCAAGGTATTATAGATGCTTTGAAGACTGTACAACACAAAGGACGTTATTACAGAATTATATTAGTTAAAGTAGATACATGCGAAAGTAAGATCACTGCCGCATGGGTCATCCCATGGGGTATAATTAACTGATGCGCGTTGGTTATCCTTGACCTTGACAGAGATCGATGATCTGTTCAATGTTCAGTGGCCCAACTTCCGAATGATTTGACTAAGGCTCAGTGACATTTCACTGACCCTACAGCAGCACAAAGAAATATACGAATTTTTACTATTCAAATAACATTGTCTATTATGTAAGTTAATAAAAAGGTTTAAACAAAATTAACGTAATCGAAAGTGTTTATAGGATAGTTTCTATAATCTATTTAATAATAATGCTAGTTAACTTACAAATAATTTAATACTTTCCCATGTGATAATAAATTGACTATCGTGAAATCACACATTGAATATGAAACATTTGATTTATTGATACGAAACTCAACAATAAATATATCTGAATCCATGAGTCGATATAAGTTAGATCACCATTGAAAACCTGGAAGCATTGCACGGCTGTTTCGTTCTACTATGTGGCTCATCAGCGATGAACATCCACGACCCCTCACGCGTCACTCCAAACCTTCATTCTCTTTCTTGAACGCTGAACTTCTAGACCGTTGAGCTAGCATCCAACGATGTTAATGTCTCACTTCAATTGACCAATAATCTTGTGCAGCCATTCATCCATTGTCTGAGTTAGATACCTGTATCTACTAGACACGGATTGGACTACACATACTAAAAATTAACACCGTCAGATGGAGGATCAACGAGGTTTAGAGTTTAGGCATTCGTAGTCCTGGTTTCCAGTTCCGAATGCAGCATCGTTCTTGCGCACTGGCAAAGAGTATCATACTAGGGCAAAACGACCATCCAGTACTTCCAGGTTTTCAATAGTGGTCTAGCTGGAATAAACTCATGAATTCAACCAATAATATAATTAAAATCTCAACAAAAACCCATTCTAATAATAAATATATTCACTATCATTCCATTTATTACATTTAGATAATAGTAAAAAGTCTATCACCACTCTGCTCAAATAACACTACCTCCAAATTTCTCCTTTTCGGCTATAAATATTGTTATGACTTTTACTCTTATCAATTATCATGTGACAGAATCGTCCGTCAGAATATTGATCTCCATAACTTTGTCTTTGTGCTAAAGCAATGACATGTCAACCAGCAATAACAGTATTGCGTCAACTCTGATATAGTAAGATACCTCAAAACCCTGCTCATTCAGTCCAGAACACAATCTCAGTCTTCACTTTATGAATTGTATATTTCAGAAATAGATTGTTTATATACAAGCAGACCAGACCACATTACACCATAAAATGAAAAGTAATAAACATACAACTTTAGGCTTGTCTCTTTAGGTTTGACTCTTTGGATTACAACAAAACTATCATCTAATTTAATACAAATCCACAATGTGAATCATATAGATGCAAAAATATCCAGGATTATTTTACTTGTACATTAATGACTCAGTCAGTCTATCAGCTACAACGTAGGATCAGGCACATATATGCATCGATCCAAGTTGCCATACCTCATTAGCACAACAAGATAAACACTGGATTCATAGAAGTAGTTAATTCAATGATGGTAATATATAAACGATAGATTGCATATAAGGATATAGTACAGGAAGAAAGAATTAGTTGGTAGAAAGAAAGATATGAAGCAATTTTAATCTCTTAGTTAAAGGGAAGACAGAGAGTGTATACACCGACGCCATTGTGATTGATTCTGAGCTATGTCACCCACAGTCTCCAACCATTGATTACAATAGTCAAACAGATCCCAACCATGTAGTCACATTAATGACTAACCATAACTAATAAACTCAACAACAGGTTGCAAGCCTTACAGGATCTACTGAAGGAAGAAGAAACTACTATGGAGGATAGCTGGAAAGGTATCAAAGAAACATTAACTTCAACGTGTCAAGAGGTTCTGGGCCCCAAGAAACATCATCACAAGGAATGGATCTCTACAGAAACACTGGACAGGATCAAAGAAAGAAAGAACAAGAAGACAGCAATTAACAACACTCGAACAAGAGCAGAGAAAGTCCAAGCACAAGCAGAGTACATAGAAGCAAACAAGAAAGTGAAGAAGAGCATTAGAGCTGATAGGCAAAAATACGTGGAAGAACTAGCAACGACGGCGGAAAAAGCTGCAAGAGAAGGAAATATGAGACAGCTTTACGATACGACGAAGAAGCTTGCAGGGAAATACAGTAAACCAGAGAGACCAGTCAAAGACAAAGAAGGAAGACCAATCACTGAGATTCAACAACAGCGCAACAGATGGGCAGAGTAGTTCGAGGAACTCCTGAATAGGCCGGCTCCAATGAATCCACCGGACATCGAAGCAGCACACACAGATCTTCCTATAAATGTCAATCCACCAACGACAGAAGAAATCAGAATGGCCGTCAGACAAATCAAGAGCGGGAAAGCAGCAGGACCTGACAATATACCAGCTGAAGCATTGAAGTCAGACATCGAAGTAACTACAAGCATGCTTCATCTTCTATTCAAGAAGATTTGGGAGGAGGAACAAGTGCCGATGGATTGGAAAGAAGGACACCTCATCAAGATTCCAAAGAAGGGAGATCTGAGCAAGTGTGAAAACTACAGAAGCATTACACTACTGTCAATACCGGGTAAAGTCTTCAACAGAGTGTTACTGAACAGGATGAAAGACGCAGTTGACGCTCAACTTCGAGATCAACAAGCTGGATTCCGTAAGGACCGGTCGTGCACAGACCAGATTGCGACACTACGGATCATCGTCGAACAATCAATTGAGTGGAACTCGTCTCTCTACATCAACTTCATTGATTATGAGAAGGCATTTGACAGTGTAGATCGGAGAATGTTATGGAAACTTCTTCGACACTACGGAGTTCCTGAGAAGATTGTCAACATTATCCGGAACTCATACGACGGACTACAGTGCAAAGTAGTGCATGGAGGACAGCTGACAGACGCATTCCAAGTAAGGACCGGAGTAAGACAAGGCTGTCTACTCTCTCCCTTCCTGTTTCTTCTGGTGGTCGACTGGATTATGAAGACCTCGACATCTGAGAGAAACCACGGCATACGATGGACAGCTCAGAACCAATTAGACGACTTGGACTTCGCAGATCACCTAGCCCTCCTATCACATACACACGAACAAATGCAGATAAAGACGGCCAGCATAGAAGCAGTTCTTGCATCAGTAGGCCTCAACATACACAAAGGGAAAACCAAGGTCCTCAAACACAACACGGAGAACAGCAATCCAATCACTCTTGATGGAGAAACTCTGGAAGACGTGGAATCCTTCACATACCTGGGAAGCATCGTCGATAAACAAGGAGGTTCAGATGAAGACGTCAAGGCGAGGATTGGCAAAGCTAGAGCGGCATTCCTTCAACTGAAGAACATATGGAACTCAAAACAACTTTCAACCAATATCAAAGTCACAATCTTCAATACCAACGTCAAGGCAGTTCTACTGTACGGAGCTGAAACTTGGAGAACTACAACAACCACCATCAAGAAGGTACAGGTATTTATCAATAGCTGTCTACGCATGATACTCAACATCCATTGACCGGATACCATCAGCAACAGCCCTTTGTGGGAGAGAACCAACCAGCTTCCAGCTGAAGAGGAAATTAGGAAAAGACGATGGAAATGGATAGGACATACATTGAGGAAATCATCAAACTGCATTACGAGACAAGCGCTAACTTGGAATCCTGAAGGGAAGAGGAAAAGAGGAAGGCCAAAGAACACATTACGTCGGGAAATAGAAGCAGATATGAAAAAGATGAATAAGAACTGGAAAGAGCTTGAAAGGATTGCCCAGGACAGGGTTGGATGGAGAATGCTGGTGAGCGGCCTATGCTCCTTCACGAGGAGTAACAGGCGTAAGTAAGTAAGTAAGTAATAACTAATAAAAATATATTCAGTATTCACTTGATTTATAATATTACTAGTACTAGTATATCACATTATTGATTATTACGTTGTTGTTGTTGTTGTTTTCACCTACATCTAAAGATTGAGCAAACAATAAAAAACAAACAAACAAGGAAACAAACAACCAAAGCTATTTCATCTTGAATAAATCAAGGCATTACGGTTTCAGTTCAGAAGTTGATTAAAATTATAAAACAATTTACAATATTTGAAATATTCCCATAATGTAAGTTTAGAACAACACTGATATAAGCGAATAATATTGTCTTAGTAAGGGACTCCTCAGCAGTGCGCATCCACGACCCCGCCCCTCGCGAGATTCGAACCCCTGGAGTTATAGTGAGAAGCCGTTACCAGTGGAGTTCAACCAGGTCTGTTGTGAGATATCAGCTCACTGAAGACAATGGTGTACCGTGGCGCAACTATGTGGATTGGTTGAAGTTAGACATTAACACCGTTAGGTGCCGGCTCAGTGGTCTAGTTGGTTAAGCGCCTGGCGCGAGACCGATAGTTCCTGGGTTCCAATCTCGCAAGGAGTGGGGTCGTGGATGCTCACTGCTGAGGAGTACCATACTGGGACGAAACAGCCGTCCAGTGCTTCCTGGTTTTCCATGGTGGTCCAGGTTCAATTGACTGATGATTTCAACCAGAGAAATTTTTAAAATCTCCGCAGACCCTTTCTGATAAGAATAATATTGTTTTCGATTAGATCCTCATCAGGCTTTACTCTAATATACAGTAATATTTATATGCATATATGAAATGAATTAAGCCAACCAAGGTAGTTTATGAGTCAATGATAACAATGAATAAAACGATTACATAATATGGGAAAAGTATAAATTGATAGTGTGATGACAGGTGTACTAGATTTTGATTAGAATAATAAAGGCTTGAATCAATGTTACATAATGAGAAAAAGGTCAATCATTAGAAGAAATAATGACACTGAAATAACATTCATAAAAATTATAAGATTACGTAATAAGAAGTGGATTAGTTGAAGTTAGACATTAACACAGTTGGATGCCGGCTCAGTGGTCTTGTTGGTTAAGC